ATGCTGTACTAGCCTTGAGGTAGTCTGTGTAGCAAGCAGAGGTGCACAGTGGTTGTTGCCCCTTGCTATCATTAAGTAAACAAAACCACCTTGTCCTGGCTTCCTTCTCTACAGGACATTCCTTCTTCCTGGAATCAGTTTTAGTAATGTTTTTATACACACTCTATCTCTAATTCCTCTCAATTTTGGATTTGCCCTCCCATTCCAGGGAAACCACCTTAAGTTCAGCTATGGCTGAACTAATTCACAAACCCAGCAGCTATTTATCCTTTGTTTTTGTTTTTTAATAAGAGAAAAACGAACACGTTTATTAACATGTTTATTTCACCTTTATATTGGAAGCATCCAGAGAGAATGTAGTTCTCAAATTCTGCCTTATACAGCATCTTCAACAAAGATCTGTAAATTTTTTCAGAAGGATCATGACAGAGAAAAAAGACTTTTGAGTCTTTACAAACAGCAGCTTGAGGCAAGGCAAAAAAACTGACAGATAAATGTGAGTTAGGAAAGCTTGTTAACAAAGATTCCTCTGTTTTCAATTTGCATTGCATTTCCTGTGTGATCTCATGTTTTTCTTTTTTCCTGGATTATCAATACTACAATATCTCTCTTTCTCCATTCTTTTTTTTTTTTTTTAAAGAGAGAGGTGTGTGTGTGTGTGTGTGTGTGTGTGTGTGAGAGAGAGAGAGAGAGAGAGAGAGAGAGAGAGAGAGAGAGAGAATTTTTAATATTTATTTTTTAGTTTTCAGCAGACACAACATCTTTGTTGGTATGTGGTGCTGAGGATCGAACCCAGGCCGCACGCATGCCAGGCGAGCGCGCTACCGCTGAGCCACATCTCCAGCCCCCTAAAATATGTTTTTTAAGTCGTTGTTGGATCTTTACTTTATTTGTCTATATTCGGTGCTGAGTGGAACCCAGTGCCTCACATATGCTAGGCAAGCGCCCTACCATTGATGCCACAACACCAGCCCCTCCTATTCTGCTTTTAAAAAATGATTCTTTTTGGTTATAAATAACCTTAGAATTCATTTTGTACTAATTATAAAAGCATGGAATATAATTTGYTCTAATTCAGTCCCCAGAACTTCTCTTTCCCTTCCCTACTCCTTCCCCCATTCCGTTTCCTCTACTCTACTGATCTTTCTGCTGTTTACTTATAGTTTTTTTTCTTTTTAATTAGTGTCTTGTGGATGTACATGATGGTGAGATTCACTGTGGTATATTCATATTAGCCAGAAGACTGTACTTTCCCTTTCAGTGAGAAAGAGACATCAACATAGAACACCCACAAGTTCCTATCTCCACATCTACCCACTTATGTTCTTTTGTGTTAACGTATTGCCTGTTTTCTTGTTGCTGAGAATAGAATTACTAATAAATTCAGCTTTTTTACAAAAATACTAGATTCCTTTCTTTCTTACCTTATCCAAGGACAGTATCCCTTTCCTTCCTTCTTCATCAGCTTTTCCTTTTCTAGTGGTTAATTCCCCAATATATGTTCCATCATTTTCCAATCCTGAACATATTACCAATAATAAGAAAAAAAGTCCTGTGTTCACTTATCACTTTACTATTCTATTTTTCTGCTCACCTCTACACTAAGAGAAACTACCAAAAAGTGTTGTCAATATCCACCAACACCACCTTCTCTCCTTTTTTTTTTTAGACCTACTATAATTGTTTGCCCATATTATTCTAAAGTTTGTAACTGCTTTTTTCAGGATAACCAAATTCATTGCTGAATCCAACGGTCATTCTTTAGTCACCAGCCTACTAGCCTCAGTCCTGTTGACACAGTAGTAGGTCACACTCATTCTTTGAAACACTTTGCATTATATTTTTGGTCTTCACACATTTTAAAATTAATTCTTCTCTCAAAGACCTTGCCTTATTGGTTTCCTTTACTAGTTTCTCCTCATCTTTCTGACATCCTAATTTTGAAGTTCTTGTCTATTTTTTTTTTCATTTCCTAGAGACTGTATCAGGCAAGTATTCTTCTATATCTTCTATATAACCAGATATAGATGTGTGTAGCAAGCTACAATTTGGAGTGTCCTTGGCAAAAATTTTGATCACAAGCAAACGTGTGTAAGAGTCTTTCAGGGAATCTACAGTAGTGCTGATGTCTATCCCCCCTAACCTCCTCTTAACCTCCTATCCGACTGGGTTTGCTCTAGGTGATGCCATCTTGATATTGATAACTTTTACATTGTCATTAGAATAGCATTCTATTCTTCTTGCTACCATCCTTGCCTCCCATCTTTTTCTCTATTCTTGACATAGCAGCCACATTTGTCCTTTCAAACACTAAGATAAATTATCTAAATTTATAAAGTTGAAGAAGCAGGTGTAGAAAAAGTTCATAGTTTCCTGAAGATCATAGAATTTGTTATTGATATAGGTGTAGGAACCTCAGCTCTTGTATTCCAGAGTGTGTTCTTAGCCTTATGTTTTTCCATAATCAGATTCAATCACTTTGCCTGAAATCAGTGAACAGAAAGTATGTCATATCATGCCCTGGCACAGAGGAAGAGAAAAATTACGTTTCCAACTCCTTGGGAGTTTAGAATCTCATTTAGAGAGAAGAAGCTCAGAGAATCATCCAATTCACAGTAAAAGAAAAAAAAATTCTATATGTTTGTAATAAAAAAACAAATAGAATTTCCCTTTGCTGCTGAAAATCATCATTAGCATGTAAAAACAAAATAGAATAATGTTGATATGGAGTGGGAGGAAGTGAGGGCAGAATTGGGGGAGTTTCCTTAGGGATCAGAGGGAAGGATTTGTTTTTCTTTTAAAATTCTCTCTGTATAAGAAATTGTGTGCATATGGGGCCATGTGTAACTGTGTGCTTCTATGTATGTTTTTTTTTTTTTTTTTTCCAAAAAGGGACAGATAGATTTGGGAGTAGTGGGGTGTGTTGAATTCTGGCTATGAGACGGGCTATAGAACTGGGAAGAACTTCATAGGAAAACATCAGTGCCTTACTGGGGCCAAATCTCTTAGAACTGAGTTCTAGGGTCTCCTTCAGTACAAACTGAAAGACTAAGAATTACAGCAAAAATAAATAAGCATATTCAATAAAGCAAGATTCCAAAGTTGGAATTATTATAAGGAGATTTCACTATATGCAAAACCATGCATACACATTTCATAGTGGTCCAAGAGAGGGGCTACATAAGGCCCTGTTAGGGCCAGTTCACACACATCAGGCTGAGTCACTGGCACATGCTCTAGGACTGGTGACCCTTGTCTATCCTCAAAAGATGAATTGTTTTGGGGGGGTGCTCACATAACAACATACCATGCTTCTGTAGGGAAGGATGATGTAAATATGGGTTTTCATGGTCAGGGGAAGAGTCACCTTGGGAAACCTTGCCTCTCCTCATTAAACACCGGCTTCATGATACTTCAGACTTCAATTACAAGTGACTGATACTGTTTCATCAAGTGCTTCCATAAACATTGATTCATAAAACTTTTAAGAGCTGCCCATATCTCTAAAATAGGCCTGGATTTTGAAGCCCCCTAGAATTCTAGTCTCACCAGGTTGCCTTAAGCTCTGTCAGTACCCTCTCTGGTGCCTTCTTCCTGCACCACAGTCCTGTCCCTCTTTCTCTTCCAATTTCATTCAGAACTCCACATATCTGATCTTTCTCCTCTGAGTTCCTCTATGGGAAGACATGACTGGCCCTGGCCCAGGACAGCTTCTTGTGCCTGTATAGCTGAACTTGAAGTTTCCTGAGGCCAGAGCTGATGCTTCTCTTCTTGTCTCACCTGTGGACTTGGTGGTATTTTTTTCTCTACTTTCTTTCCTGGGTAAAACAAAAATCTTCTTTAGCTCTATCATAATTATATGGATGTACCTCCATGTGAATTATTTCAGCATAATACAAATGAGTAAGAATCAAAGCATATGTACCAGACACCATAYTAGACATGAATTTTCTATACTCTTCATAATTGCATAGTGAAGATGCCATTTATTTATTAATTCAACAAAAGAATATGACACACACCAGTGAGACCCATGTTTTGTGATCAGTTGGTTGAAGTATTGGTGGACTTGCTCATTTTAGAACTGAGATTACTAAAACATAAGGACTATATAAAAAAATAACTTGAATTCAGGGACAGCTCCCCTAAATTCTGAACAAAATGGAAAACTTCATGGTTAAAAGGAAAGAGACCTCAAAATATGTGACTGGGAGGAGAAAATATGGTCCTATTAAGCACTCACCTTAAGTCTATTTAAATAGTACAGAAGTGTTATGTAGTATTGTTATTATAATAACCCTGTGAGGTGGGACAACATAAAAGTCTTGTATAAATTAAACAAATTGCCCAATAATTTTTAGAGATGACTTTTTCATTTTATTTATTGAACATTTACACATAAGGCACGGTCTTATGTACATTTATCATGTGTTCCTCAACATAACGTGAATGGTTAGATATTAATATTATCCATATTTAACAGTTGACCAAACTGAGGCAATAGAAACAATTGGCATCATGTTCAAGGACACCAATTTAGTACCAGAAGGAGGCCAAGATTCAAATCTCAGTGCTGTGAATTCACACTAGGTACCCTTAACTGCTATGCTAAGTTGTGGAATTCAGATTAAAATTAATCCCAAACACCATTTTTTTTTTTTTTTTTAGCTTTTGAACTCTAAGCTTTTTACTCCTACCATGAAATCCAGTCTCTTAAGAGGAGAAACTGACTTGYTCCTTACTAGGTCACCGCCCCTTTTGAGACAATATTAAAAAATATCATCTTTCTGTGCTTTTTTGAGTTCTTTAAGGAGCTGTGGAAACATAACATGTTCAATGTGATAACCAGTCTCTCATTTCATCAGGTCAAACCACTTCCTTCTGGAATTTCCAACCACATAAACCCGGTCTTGTCATATCACAGATCTCCATTCATGTAAATGCATCTAGCAAGTAATCCTACCCATTTATTTTTCTTATCTCCAAGGTCTACTTAGAATTCATGTTGAGATCTTCCCCAAGAGAAACAGTCTTAGAAGTCGACTCCGAATCTCCTTGGTTCTAGCTCCATAGATGATGGGATTGAGTACAGGAGGCACCAGCACATAGAGATTCGCYAGAAAGATGTGCACATGCTTGGGAACTCGGTTGTGACCAAAGCGGTGGGTGAGGAAGGAGAAGAAGGCAGGGATGTAGAAAACGAGGATGACACCAAGRTGGGAGCCACAGGTACTCAGAGCCTTGTGTCTGGCATCTTGAGATGGYAAACGAAAGACAGCATGGAGGATAAAGCCATAGGAGATGGCAATGAGGATRGAATCYAGACCCACAGCCAGMAGRGCYACAGTCAGCCCATAGACAATATTGACAGTGATGTTGGCACAGGCCAGCCGAGCGATGCCCATATGCTCACAGTATGTGTGAGCCATGACATGGTGGCCACAGTAGGGCAGTCGCCTCARCAGGAAAATGAAGGGGGAGACAAAAGCTATACTACGGAGTATACTAACAAGTGCAATACTGCCTATGACTGTATTGTTGAGGATAACTGTGTATCTCAGTGGTTTGCAGATAGCYACATATCGATCAAAGGCCATGGCCAGGAGAACTGAGGACTCCAGAGAGTAGATAACATGGACACAAAACATCTGGGCCAGGCATCCAGCAAAGGAAATCTCACCTGCATGGAGCCACAAAATGGCAAGTGTCTTGGGCACAGTGGTGGAGCTGAGAGTCAAGTCAGTGAGTGAGAGAAGACAAAGGAAGAGGTACATGGGTGCATGCAGGGCACTGTGTGTCATAATGACMAGGATGATGGCAGCATTGCCAAGCAGTGTTACCAGATATGCAGCACAGAATGGAATTGCAATCCAGATATGGGCAAACTCCAGCCCTGGGATCCCTGTCAGAACGAGAGTATCTGGGAGACTCTTATCACTGATGTTGGAGGCTGACATCCTTCCTAGCAAATCAAGGGTTCCTTCCAAGGGTTGATGGTATGTCTACCCTGGAACAAGAGGCATGTGGTTGATTCACRTGAAATTATGACCTTTCTGTGAAATAATAGTTATCAGACTGTGGAGAATGTTTTTTTACATGTTCAAGCACCTGAAAAGTATTTCTTTGAAGGACAACATGAACTTAACTTTTTGACAATGATTTGACGATGCATTCACCCTTTTTCTCACTTTGTAACCTGTCTTCCCAGATATAYGCCATATGCTTACTTTTATATTTCTCCTGAAGTGCCTTGTAAGAAGCTGGACAAACTGTGTGCAGTGGTGCAGTGGTAATTTCAGAAACTCAAGAGGCTGAGGCAGGGGGATCCCAAGTTCAAGGCCAGTCTCAGCAACTTAGCAAGGCCATAAGCAATCTAATGAGACTCTGTCTCAAAATAAAAAATAAAAAGGGCTGAGAATATTGCTCAGTGGTTAAAAACCCTGATACCAAAAAAGCAAATAAGAACTACAACAAAAAAAGACGCTAGACAACCTGGATATGATTTAATATCTATTCCTAATTTAATACCTATAATGATAAAAACATTCCTTTAGGTATAATAGAAGAAAGAGTGAGATAAAGTCATCTTTGCTTTCTGGGCAACAACATGCTCAACTGTATCAAAGTCAGCTCACCCTGCAAGCCCATCAGTGTAATGACAGAATATATGGCCAAATTAGAATGGTGTTAATAGAGACTGATAGAGGGAGAAAGCAGGATGTGCTGATCTTTTTTTTTTTTTATGGTAGCGTATTTTTTTATATATCTTTATTTTTTACTTGTTCTATTTAGCTTCACATGATAGCAGAATGCATTTTAATTAATTATACACAAATGGAGTGCAACGTTTTAATTCTCTGGTTGTACATGGTGTAGAGACACATCGTTTGTGCAATCATACATGTACCTAGGGTCATGATATCCGTCTCATTCCACCATCTTTTCTACCCCACTAACCATAAAGATATAACAAARAATTTTATTTTGACTGTAGAGAAATAGCTAGCATTATTTACATTCCCTCCTTAATATTTTTTTTTTATTTTTATTTATTTTTTTTACTTAAAAGGGCCCTGAAGAGAATGCCAGTAAACCTGAGTTTCAGTCCAGATTCTGTAACAAGAATGATGTGTAACGTTGAAAAAAATCTCTCTGTTCTTGGGGAAAAATTCARTTTAGAAAGGGCATGATTCTGTAGACATTTTCTTCTTTTCTATCAGCTCACTAAGTAGCACTGGAAAAATCCTAATRCCTTTTTTTGTGTCTCAGTTTATTATGTCCAAACTAGGAATGACATCATCCAGCTTACCAGGTTCATAAGATTTTGTAGGTTAGCAAAGATTAATATCATGGTATTAAATATTTGAATTCTCTGAATAAAACCTCTGCTTCCCCTCCTCATTCCTCTGCCCCCTCCTTCTCCTTCTACAAGTCCTTTATCTCCTTACAATCTAAAGTGTTTAAATATTCATACCCCTTTCTAACAGGAAGATCAGGTCCAGAGAAGTGAACTGATGTAATTTAGATCACAGGCATGTTACTTGCAGAACTGAAATTAGGTCTCTTATCTTAACTGAAATTAGCCGTTTCTTATTCCACAGTTCATTAATATGGCCAATAATTGAATTTCTACCTCTTCCAAAAAAAAAAAACCACAAACATTTCAATTAATATCGATTTCTAACACTCCAAAAACTTTTCTGTACTTCTTATCTGAACTTCAAAGAAGTGAAGACAACTAAGGAGCCCCTTACTGTTTTCAGTGAGATTTCCAGTGATGAYACCAGAAGATTTTGGACTGTTGGGGGAAAGAAACTTGAATGGCAGAGTCTGGAGACCTGAAATCACTAGATCTTCCCTTGTCCTCTCTTCCTGGCCTACTCTCGCTTCATAAGGATGTTTTCAAATGGTTGTTGCAATTTATCTGCTACTCTCTCTGCATCTATGGATGGGAGGAYTAGGAAGTTTAGGGTAAGAGCAGGTTTTATTTTTCTTCCTTGGAGAAACAAGGGAAAAGGTACTGAGCTTTTTCACAATGGGTCTCCCTCCCATACTTTTCTCAGCATCTTGTCTCCATGATGGTTGAGTTTTTGAGGTCCTCTTTTCAGTCCTAGATTTCAGTACAGTAACTTAACTCTTGGATTACTTTATTATTATTATTATTATTATTTTACTGAACAGTTGCTTGTAAATCTGATTTTAAGCACTTACCTTAGTAATAGACGTGCACTTGCAGGTGTAGAAGGATGTGATAGGGGTTCTGAGTAAAGATCTGTGGCATCCGTGAGAAGCTGTGTGGCAGAGTATGGTTGTGTGATGGCTTGGGCAGGAGGTGTGTATCTGGATACAAAGTTGTGTTTAGGCAAGTGACAGCTATGTCTGCAGGTTTAGATGTGTGAGGTATGAGGGAGTGGAGGGTCTGAATGTGCAACCGGTGTTCTCAGTTTTCTGAGCTCATTAAATGTCTTCAGCTCATCTCTCTATTCCAGCCTCCTTTAGTTGAAGGTCTTGGTAAGTSAGATTATTTATTGCTTCCCTCTGTRATAATCAGGTGTGAAAAATCAGGTAGCCTTCTCTAGGGATTTGATYTGTGGTATGTCTGTTGAGGAAGAGAAAGAAAATAAGTAGCTGATAAAAGAAGAAAGGAKCCAGGAAAACTTTTTGGTACCTTTGTAATGAAAGTGAAAATTAAATATCTAATCTATATGTTTTGTTCTCCATTCTTATTTCTTCTTTCCTTGACTCCATTTTCTGTCTTTTTATCTTTACCTTAATGAGCMTCATTGAATTCTCACTCAGGGTGAATCAACCAGAATTCTGTGCCTATAAGGGCATGGTGAAAGACTGATGTGAATGGTGCAGCAAATAATGGTGTTGGACATGTACACTTAGTGTGGCACTATCAGACTGGTGGCATTTTGCACATTTGGACAAAATGCAAGTTCCAAGATAAAAATAATTACTTGCAATGATAGCAGAGTAGTAAATAAAGTGAGTTTTCTGAGCATGACTCATTGCAATTGCCCATGTTGTGTGCCCACAAAGCCAGTCCTTGTAGGAATTAACATCAGTGCCTGGTCTGAATTCACTTCACTGTATCTCATGACAGTTAGCATCTAATGTCAGGAAGGTTTTTACATCTATCAGAGCCCTCTTTCAGGATTCATTCATTCTCCTTCATTTCAGAGCACTTTGCTCTTACAACATTCATTTTCTTCTCAAATTAATCCAAACCAGTTTTCTTCAAGATTTTTATTCATTTTCTTAAATAAAAAATTGTGCTCYATTGTGTACTATGAATTGAAATGCATTCTGCTGTTATGTGTAACGAATTAGAACAAATAAATAGATGCGTACATGCCCCTTCAAAAACTTTTGTGTAGATGTCTAGAAGTTATTGTTAAAAGCAGAAATATTAGAAAAAATATGTAATTTTCAGTGTATTGTGAATTTTGACATTTAAAAATGAACCTCTAATATCACTATTTTAAATGTACCAAGGGACATCTAGAAGTATTACATTTACCATTATTTATTTAAAATATATGAGAAAGTTTTTCTGAAATGTCAGAAATTTAATATTATGGCTTTGTCTTCTTGGAATTGGTTCATTATCCTACCTATTCATTTTTTACTTTT